GGACTGTTACTACAGGAACAAACGGGTCGCTTCCCTAGGAGACATTGGGGCAGTTGGTCGGGTCCTACCAATGCAGGCCCCCTTCCAAGACTGAGATTAGGTGGAAATGCACGCTCGGATTGGTGACCACACGCATCACCGATGGGGAGAAGTGGGGTAAAGGCAGCAATGAAGCGGCGAGCTAAGCCTTACAATATTCAGTGGGCTTCTGTGGACCCGGTTGGGGACCTGGGTGGCAAGCAGTGTGAGGAGACCTGAGGACTCCTGGGCCCAGAGTCAATGACGTGGCCACGGAGGACTCAAGTGGAGAAAGGAGCTGCTGGCTGATGGGAAGAGAGAGCAAGTGCACAAGAACAGCCACACTTGCAGATGGTACCCATGTGACCGGGACCAGATGACTGGATGCTCAGAGCTCAACCAGGAGAAGAAAGAAGGGGGTGGGGGGTGGGAAAGAAGATCGAGCTGATTCAGTCTGATGAACTTGACCTATACCTATGAATGCAGTGACTCAAAAGAAGCAACAAATCCCTACAGCAAGAAACATTCCCATCCCCTCCATGCACAGAGTAGACAGAGATGGGCAACTTGGACATTGGATACCCAAGTGGGGAGGGAGGGACTACAAAGGCAAGAAGTAAGTGGCTTACAAGCTTTCAAGAGGGAACCTAGAGCTAGGGGGCATGGAGGAAGGCAGAATCACCAGTGAGTACTAGCCAATCTGTCTAGGTGGAGCTGATGAAATGAAATACAGATGGATTACTCGCGATACTGTAGTGAATAATGGTTATCAGGACTGATTATGAGGGTTGGAAGTGCAAAGGTAGACATTGAGTAGCAAGGAAGGGAGTGATTATCTCTCAGTCTAGGAGTGGTCTCTGGAACCACCAACAGAGAAGAGCCGAGAGTGGGGGACCCTACCCAGAGAAGCAGGGACGCCTGAAATGGAGACAGAGACGATGACATGGAAGGATGAAGCGGCTGGGGACTTTGGATCCAGAGAGCGAGAGGGACTGTGGGCCAAAGCCTGGGGTGGGGGAAGTGTAGAGGACGGGTTTCTAGGATATCCCTTTTGGTCGGAAGATGATGCAGGGAGGGGATTGGAACCATGGCAATGAGATGATATACGATGGAATGAATGTAAAACTAAAGTTATCTCATGTAAACTATCATATAATTCACAATAAAACATTTAAAAAATTATATATATATATTTTTTTTGATAAAGGAAATGGGTAAATTGCTACAATTTGATGAACCTGACCTGTACTCATGGAGGTTGTTGTTATGTGCCATGGAGTCGGTTCCGACTCATAGCGACCCTGTACAGGATTTGTTTATGGGAGCAGAAAGCTTCATCTTTTCTCATGCTGAACAGCTGGTAGTTTTGAACTGCTGACCTTGGAGTTCACAATCCAATACGTAACCACTACGCTATCAGAGCTCCTTTACTCCTCATGGACATAGTAACTCTAAATACCAGCAGAGAGGGAAGGAGTTGTCACATCAAGTATCAATGCTATCCCCTCTGTACACAGGGTAGATAGGGATGGGCAACTTAGACATTGGCTACTTAAAATGAGGCGGGTGATAAAGGCATGAAGTAACTGGATTATAAGTTTTCAAGAGGGACTTTAAGAGTATAGGGACTCCCCACTGAATAGTTTTCATCTTGTCTGGATGGGTCTGGTAAAAAGAGATGGCGATTAGATTCATATGATTCAATTGTGAATAATTGTTATCATGACTAATTGCACAATTGTAAAGATAGAAGTTTTGTAACAAAAATAGGGGAGTGGTTAATCTTACAGTCCAGAAATAGAGGACCCTAGGACCATCAAGGAGGAAGAGCACAAGCAGAATGCGGGACCTTACCCAGAGAAGCAGGGACGCCAGAGACAGAGGCAGAGATAGGGTCATTGAGAGGGTTAGCAGCTGAGGACTCTAGATTCATGGGAAGAGAGGGACTAAGAGCTGGTGGCCAGGAGGCAGACTTGCAGAATGTACCCTTTGGAGGTATAAATTATTATATATTCCTGAGTGGTGGTGGTGTTTTTAAAAGCTAAAGTGAATAGAGAGAAATATTGTTAACTGATGGTACATGAAGGGGACTGTAATCATTGTAACAATCATTGAAACAAGGTGTATGACTTGTTGAATGTAAAACTGATGATCTGCCCGGTAAACTTTCACTCAATCCACAATAAAAAACCTTTAAAAAATAAAAAAAGAGTGAAGGAAAAGCAAAGTTAAAATTATAAGGAAATTGATAGAAATACAAGGTGTGGTGCTGAAAATCCACAGTGATTATATGATAAGAAAATAATCTATTTGGAAGCAAAATGAGTGAAAATTCTACATCTTCATTACATCCTTTTTTGTGTGTGTATGTTTTTTTAAAAAACATGTCCCAAAGGGTACCATCATCTTTCTTTCAGATAAAACGTGTATAAATTAAGTTAGTTCTGTAATCCCATTGTAAAAATTAGATTCAGGATTCAGTTTATTCCTGTTTCAGTTCAGCATTGTTAATAATATGAGTTTATCAATTCATAAATTATGAATAATATGAATTTATAGCAAGGAGGTGTTTTTAAAACATTTTAATTATCAGATTAAGGAGTCCTGGTGTGGCACTGTGGGTTAATGCACTGGGCTGCAAGGTCGATTTGAACTATAAGGTCAGCAGTTCAAGCTCACTTGTCACTCCTTGGAAACCCTATACAGGGTCTATATGGGTTGCAACTGGCTTGATGGCACTTGACAACAAATATTAGATTATGAATGATACATATGTCTCATATTTTGAGGGGTGAATCCTTCTCAAGTTTTGCTATTAATTGCCCTATTAATTACTAATTTGATGTCATTAAATATGAAGGAGCCTTTGTATTTAGTTAGTGCTGTTGGGTAAGCACTGGATTGCTAACTTCAAGGTTGGTGGTTCAAACTCACCAGCCGTATCTTGGAAACTCTATACAGGATTGCTGTGAGTTGGAACTGACATGATGGTACTTAACAACAACAACAGTGAACAAATTTCCTTTAGAAGTACAGCCAGAATGCTTCATAGAAGTGAGGATGATAAGACTTCATTTTGTGTAGTTTAGACATGGTATCAGCAGGTACCAGTCCCTGGAGAAGGGCATCATGCTTGATGAAATACAGGGTCAGTAGACAAAAGGAAGACCCTAAACAAGATGGATTGACATTGTGGCTACAATAAATGGGCTGAAACTAGCAACAACTGTGAGGCTGGCACAGGACCTGGCCATGTTTTGTTCTGTGGTACATTGGGTCACTATGAGTTGGAACTGAGTCAGCGGCACTTCACACAATAGTTCAAAGCACATTCTCTTCATGTTTTCATTAGTGTGTACTGCACAAATTTTAGTCCATAATGAGCTTAAGTTTTCTTCTGTGATTTAATTGTATTTAAATTTTTGTATGCATTTTATTTGTTTTTGTTAAAATTATTATTCTCTGAGTAACCCCAGTCATTATTATTGAATTTACAGGTGGCTGTTTGTTGCATCTGTTTTTTTGTTATTCTGCCTCTGAATCTTGTTGGTACAATACTTGGCCGGAATCTGTCAGGTCAGCCCAACTTCCCTTGTCGTGTCAATGCTGTGCCTCGTCCTATCCCGGAGAAAAAATGGTAAAGAGAATGCTGCATTTTAACCCCTTATCTTCTCATCGTATTTAAATTCTTAAGCCTATGGTACATATATATATGGAACTTCAGAATTAGCATGTAGAGGTTATTCTTAGAATTTGTTGCTTTTACTTTTTCCTTCAACTTATATCGCTAGTTGTTGTAATAAATGATATCATTATTTCCGTTTTTGAATTTTGGTGCCATTTACAAATAAGTCTAATGCTTTGATAAGTACTCTAGAATGTAAGGGTAGGTAGAAACTGTAGCTGCAAGGTGGTTACTACAGCCCACAGACCATATCTGACCTGATGCCTGTTTTTATAAATAGATATTCTGGGACACAGTCATACCTTTTTTGTGTACATATTGTCTTGTCTGCTTTTATATGACAGCAGAGACCATGTCAGTGACAGTCCTGAAGTGTTTACTGTCTATTTACAGAAAAACTTGCTTAAATTTCACTTTCCAGATATTTTATTATTGTCAACCATACTCGGAAACCCTGTACAGGGTCGCTATGGGTCGGAACCGACTCGACGGCACTTAACAAAAACAACATACTGACATGCATATAACCATATGAGGGTGCTTCAAAAACTCTGTGGAAAAATTTCATTATCTTTTAATTCCATTGTTCCATGGACTCATATACATGCTGCAAATTGAGAGCTGAGTTAGGATTGAGACCATTGTAATTTACTAGTTTAGATACCTGATCTTCACATTGGCATTGCACATGCCAGTTGCTATCAGATTGGTGCTTCTTAAGGGTTCCAGAGGCTGAGTTTTTGGATGTGCTGTATTTTTGCATTCATCCATGTAACCGGTTTGTACATGCATACAGTGCATATGCTGTACACAGGGAAAAATGTGTAATTAGTGAGTTCATTATTTGTGACATAATATAGTAGCTTGTCAAACTTTTTCTGATGCTCCTCTGGGTGGACTCAAACCTCCAAACTTTTGGTTAAGCAGCTGAGTATGTTAACCATTTATAGCATCCAGGAGCTCCTTGGGATAGTGTTGTTGTTGTTGCTAACTGCTGTTGAGCTGTAGAATCTCACAGATACATGCCTGTCACATTTTCTGCATGGACTGTTTTTAAGGATCTCACATAATTAAGATGAATCTTGATAAAGGATGGGGTGTGTTTCTGTTCAACAGGTGAAAAAGTGCTTCTATAGCAATGGTGCAAATGTAGTTTAGATTCGTTCTACCAATCACCTTTGAAATGAATGGTTTTTATAGATTATTAATTTGGGGTGATACATATTTTTTAAAGTTTGAACATAAAATTATGTGTCATTAATATTCTTATTGTAATGTTTGCAGTTAAAACTTGGACAAAATGTGAACTTGTTTTACCTTTTAAAATTAATAAACGGAGTATTTTGTTGGAGAAAGATGAGACTTTCTGCTCCCTTAAAGATATACAGCCTCAGAAACCCTAAACGGGCTTGTTCTGAGGTGGAATCGACTCAGCTCCACCTAATAACAGCAGCAGCAAATTGAATATTTAGTGTAGATTTATTCATTCTGCATTTGTTATCATCCTAATTCTTAATAGCAGACAAAAATTTAACTATCTTTCTGTACATTTATTACATTCCCATTTCATAAGAATAGCTGTATGGGTCCTGATGTGACACCGTAGGTTAAGCACTGGACTATAAATACAAGGTCAGTGGTTCAAACACACCAGCCGCTCCTTGGAAAACCCTTTACAGGGCCTCTATGAATCGGAACCAACTGGACAGCACTTGACTTCACAGTCGCTTGATGTTGTTAAGTGCTGTGGAGGTGGTTCTGACTCATAGCAGCCCTGTATAGGGTTTACGAGGAGCGGCTGGTGGGTTTGAACTATTTGCCTTGCGGTTAACAATCCAGTGCTTATCCTGCAGCATCACACGAGGATCCTGACAGATATAGCATAGCCTTAGTTTTAGGGCTATTGATTGAAAAGCCTGTGTTGCTAGCTAGCTTACCATATTACAAGTATCTTATGTTCAAATACTTACACACAGGTGATAATTAGCATCTGTTTTTTTTATTGAAAGAAACTGAGGCTGAATAAAATAGCCCTGCAGCTTCAGGGAACGATCTGTTGTTTTCTGCTAAGGAATTGGCCTTGTTCTTGCCTTACATTGGTACTGATGAGAGGTTTCGGCCAGCACTTTTGTAGTCTGTTTTCTAAAATCAAATCAAAATTATCCTCACACTCACTTTTATCCTCACGTTCATTACCAGGGAAAAAATAAGGTTAAAGGAAAAGCACAGTGAAAATCACACAAGTTCCTATAGGTCACTGTAGTTGTTATGTGCCAGTTCAAACTCGTAGCAACCCTTTACAGGTTTTCCAAGGCTATAAATCTTTACGGGAGGAGAAAGCTTCAACTTTCTCCCGTGGAACAGCTGGTAGTTTCGAACTGCTGACCCTAAGCAGCCTGATTCGTAACCACTGTGCTACCAGGGTGAGGCAAAGTTAAGGAGCAGATAACACATAATCTTCTTAGGAAGAAATGGGCTACATTTAGATGTAGAAAGGTACCTTCATTTAAAAAAATATATAGTCACATTAGAACCCAAATCTGATAGGAAATCCTGGCTCTCACTGTGTCGCCTTTGACAAATCTTATAACCACAGCAGGTTTTGGTGGTCTATGACATGAGGAAAGAAGGCTAGATTAAATGGCTTGTAAGTTTCACTTTATTTTTCAGCTCTGAAATTAAAAAAATTTTTTTTTTCCTGAGCAGCTTTTTAGGTTTGTTATTCCAGAGACATTAGTGTCATTTGTGTGTAAGATACTGTGCTAGGCATTGGGAATACTGAGAGGAAATCATTTCTGCCTGCCAACGTTTATAATTTAGTGGGGTATGTTGGACAAAGAACTAAACTGTTATTGTAGAGTGTGGAGGACTGAAATGGAGTTACCTTCACAGGGCATTGGAAGCCACTGGGAGGACCCACCATTTGCTGGTAGACTGAGGGAAGGCTTTTAGGAAAATGATAAAAGGCATTCCAGGTGGAGAATTACTGTTAGTGAGTGAATGAGATTTTGAATTTTATCTTTTATTCTTTCTTTCACTCCATTATAACCTGAGTTTATAATTGTGTAGTTTGTAGGAGAAGGAATTAAGAGCCTAGGAAAGAGTGAGCAAAAACATGACAATAATTTGGGAAATATTTCAGATAGGGGTCATGCTTTCTTTCCCTATGATTTTTGTGTAAATAAATGCCTGTAATGCTAGTGGGAATTATGGAGAGGTGGTAGAACAGTAGCAAACACTTGAGTCTTTCAGGATTTCTGCCAATGGTATATACTGTATGTTCCCAAAATTCAAATCTTAACTTTTAATGCTGGAAGGACTTCTGAAGGTAACTAATTTAGATATTTAAATTAACTGGCTAATTTAAATAGTTTTAAGTGCTACCCATTGTGCCGCTGGATTCATTTTACTGGTTTGTTTCTATTTGTCAAAGATTATTTTATGTACTAAGCATCTGCTTTCTACTATCAGGATATGTATGAATGAAAATCATATTAGAAATTCATTGTTCATTGTAATATTTTCCAGGTTCATGGAGCCTGCAGTTATTGTTTGCCTGGGAGGAATTTTACCTTTTGGCTCAATTTTTATTGAAATGTAAGTTTGGGTAATGTATTTATGCTTCGAAAGATTGGATTGTCTATAGTAAGAGAATTTAGGAGTTGGGGTAGCTATAGAGTCATCAGATGGGAGAGTATTTAATTGCGTTAGTCTGTTAATTCCATAGTTTCCAGAAAGAATTCCATGTAGATTATCTACCCTCAATTTACTTGCCCTAGTCTCAAATATTCAGGTGAAGTTTATACGTGTTTTTTTTTTGTATTGCGTTCTAGACTTCTTTCACCTAACAGGAGATCTTAGATATGAAAGCATGCACGCTAGAGGATGGTGGTGGTGGTTATGTGCCGTGAAGTCGGTTCCGACTCATAGTGACCCTGTGCAGGGTAGTTCTGAGGCTGTAAATCTTTACGGGAGCAGAAAGCTGCATCTTTCTCCCGCAGAACAGCTGGTAGTTTCAAACTACTGACCTTGAGGTTCACAGCCCGATTTGTAACCACTGTGCTATACCACATGCATGATGTAAGGAAGTACTGGTTTCTTTTTTTGAAATATTTTCCCTGATCACCAGAAAAGAATCAGCCTTTTCCCCTCAGCCTCTGTCCCAATATTCCTCGAATGATGGTCTTAGAGCATTTTAGACAAAACAGTTCATCATAGGGGTTTTGTCAGTTCCTGCAGTCATGTGCTTCTGGCTCCTGCTCACTAAATGGCCAGTCACTGTGACAACTCCAGATATCCATGTGCTTGCAGATACCTCACTGCTTGAATCTCTCCTGTTCAATGAAAGACATCTTAACAGACATGATTAGATCTGGCGTTGCTTCATTTAATGAGCTGGCTCATGTAAGGGAATTATAAAAACTAATACATGCATGGCATTTGAACTTAAAACAGCTAAATGTATATCCTTCACTAGTCTTCTTTTTAATACAAAGCCAGTCTTTTCCTTGAATATGTATCTGCCGATAAGAATTCTTGTCATTTGTTTTTTGATATTCATGCACCCTTTATGTTTTCCAGTCTTTGTAAGTGGAACAAGAACTTAAAGACCTTTCTGAAGCATTCTAACTGCAGAATCCTTCTGGATGTGTGCATTTATCCCTGGTCTTCTATAAATGTCTAACCCAGAGCTAATTGTTAAGCTTTTTGCTTATACAATGTTTCCAAAACAATTTTCATTGTAATCAGTTCTTGTTTACTCTCATGTTTATTGGTTTATGTAGCATTTGATTAAATTATTTAATGCCACTAACACAGCTGACATAAACAGATTTGGAAACAACTCCTTGTGGTCACCTACCAGCTTCGAGTGGGCGCTGGTCATTAGTCAGTGTCATTAGTCAGGGATTGGAGTGTGTGTCACTTTAGCTCGTGGTTTAATAAAGCCAGTCGAGAAGGTTCTTGGTAATTCAGGGTGGATCCTTCATTGTTTTCTCATTCTGACCTGACCTCTATTTTCTCTCTTTTTTTTCTGGTCTCCAGTACCTTCTGAATCACATTGCTTCCTGCTTTCTCAGGACTGTTCCATTAGATAGTCTCCCTGTTGTTTCTTTAATTTCCCTTCTGTTGGGCTTCTTTTGACTACTCTCAAACCCATTCTCCTATTAGCCAAAGCTGTCTTTCTAAGGTACCAGTCTGATCATTTCACTTCTTTACTAAAGACTTCTCATCTTTATTGAGCTAATTAAGGTCCAAACTCCATACTAAGGTCAATAAGGACCTTCATGTTTGTCCCTAGTTCACTTCTTCAGCTTCATCTAACTCTTGCCCTTTACATGAAGTTCTAGCCATATTGAATTATATTAAATTATAGTAAACTTCCTTAGCTCTGAGTCTTTGCCTTTGTTGCTCCTATGCCTAGAATTCTCTTTCAGTTTCTTTCTCCTGTATGCCTTGTCTGAGACTTCCCACTGCCCCCCAGTCCTACCCAGCCAAACTGATAAAATGCTCTATTATGTGCATTGGCTTAACACACATAAGGGTACATGATTGCCCCTCCCTCGTGGTTCCCCTTTACACAGGGTAGAGACTGTTGTCTTGATAATTCTACGCTCACTGCTGCCTTGATGTGTGGTAGGGGCTCTGTAGACATTTGTTAAAAGAATGATGAATAAATGAGTAAACAAATATTAGCAAAAGAAGAGAAAAGAAGCTGAAAAGCCTCATTCTAATTTAATGATGATTTAGGTAATGGGTATAAATGTATCATCTGACCAATGAGGAAGAGTCAGGACTAGAATACATCTTTTGGACCCTGGGATCCCTGTGTATTAAACTTCTTCAACCTAGGAACAGAAATCTGTGACACTGAAGGAGTGGCAGAGGAACTGAAGCAGTAGAGCCAACAGCCAGAGCATGAGACAGAGCAGTGAGCTTCCCAGCTTGCAGAGTAGGGTACCTCCAGGCACTTAATTGGGAGAGCTAGGTTTGCTGACCCCTGGAGCTAGAGACTACTGTCTTCAAGCTGAGGCTTATAGTTGGGTGAAGGACCCTTCAGGCATTTATCCGTAGCCCTGACAGAGCTTTGTACCATTGCCTAAGGCCAGGCCATCCTGGGAACACTGCTGAGGAGAGGCTCTCCTGATCAAACACCTGTGCAATGAGCACTGTTGACCTGAATTACAACCAGTTAAGTTCCCTAACAAGCTCCACAACGAGTATGGTGTCAGTTCTGTGTGGCTTTTGCAAATTGCAATGGATGACGGAACCTTGTTGAATAGAGAGCAGTGATGTCACTTTTCTGTAACTTTTTTCCATGAACTTTTTGATGCACCCTTGTAGTTTATATTTAAAATATCCTAGTAAACAGAAAAAGTTTGATGCAAGTAACAGCATATTGAATTATGAAAAGAAAGCCTGAGAAGATACAAACTATCTTCACAGAACAGTAAGGGAAGGAGAACTAAGGAGCCGTTGCTATGTTGTTGTCGTTGTGGTTAAGTGCCCTCAAGTCAGTTCCAACTCATAGTGACCCTATATAGGATTTCCTAGGAAGAGCTGGTGGGTTTGAACTGCTGACCTTGTGGTTAGCAATCTAGTGCTTATACTACAGCGCCACACCAGAACTCCAAATTAAGTGTCACAGATTTCTGTTCCTAGGTTGAAGAAGTTTAATACACAGGGATCCCAGGGTCCAAAAGATGTATTCTAGTCCTGACTCTTCCTCATTGGTTAGATGATACATTTATACCCATGTTGAAATTCCAAGTTTTTACAATCACAATTAACTATGTTAACAGTTGTTTACAACTGAATGATATCATCCTATCATTATCTTCTCCCACCATCAGTAAAAGGGTCATTTGGTGGGAGTCCTGATGTGGTGCTGTGGGTAAATGTGCTGAACTGCAAAGTCGGTTTGAACCGCAAGGTAGGTGGTTCAAGTTCACCAGCCACTCCTAGAAAACCCTTTATAGGGTCGCTGTGGGTAGGAATCGACTTGATGGTACAGCAACAACAACAAAGACCAAGGTTGTGATTGTTGTTGTTATGTGCCGTGGAGTCAGTTTCGACTCATAGCGACCCTGTACAGGGTTTCTAAGGCTGTAAAATCTTTACGGGAGCAGAAAGCCTCATCTTTCTCCCACGGAACAGCTGTAGTTTCGAACTGCTGACCCTGAGGTTAGCAGCCCGTTATAACCACTTCACTACCAGAGCTCCACACCACAAAATTCCATTATCTTTTAATTCCATTTTTTCTAGGAACTTTTTGAATCTCCCTTATAGATTGCTTAAATAATGCTGATTCTTGAGAAAATGAATGAGGGAATTGACTATTTAAAAAATATGGATTTTTTAGCTATTTTATTTATTCTTTCCCACATTTTATTCCTTTAAGCTTATAATTTACTCAGTTTGTTTAAAGATAAGAACCCTATTGAAGGATCTGTCTTTGAAGATTACCAAAAAAAATTTTTTGACAGAATTTTGGAGGACTTAATAGAAGAAAAAAAGGGTAAAAAAATTTGTTGGAAGTTTCTTTTAAATGAGGTAAAAGTGGAACTAAGATGTGAGAGAGACTTGGCAAGAGCATAGTCCAGGTCAAGAATAAGACCAATAAACTTTGCCTTTATTGAATTTTATTTAGGTATTTCATCTTCACATCTTTCTGGGCATATAAGATCTACTATGTCTATGGCTTTATGATGCTGGTGCTGGTCATCCTGTGCATTGTGACCGTCTGTGTGACCATTGTGTGCACATACTTTCTACTCAATGCAGAGGATTACAGGTGGTAAGTACTTACTGTAACAGACTAGTACAAGGGCTTTTATGAATTAGCAGGAAGAACCATTGGGGACTGCAGTAGTTTAAAAATAAGAGTTACAGTGTTTCAAGCAGAGTGAAAGTTCTATCTAGAAGTCTATGGTGTCGATCTGTCCCCTCCAACACACAATTAGAAAACTGATGATGATGTTAAGAGTGAAAATGAGGCCGATTTTTGTCTTTAATTGAAGAAGCGTACTATGTTAGAAATATTTTTACAAAGTGCTTGATGTGGAAAACTCTCAACGAGTAAGTGTAGTATAGTTCCATTTCAAACCCAAGGAGACTTCCGTCTGAAAAAGAAAATAGTTTACTTAAAGAGTTACCTATGCTAGGCAACTGGATAAAATTCAGGACTTCTCCTTCCAGTTCTTAGGCTGTCTCCTTGTCGATATATTTAAGTGCCATGTACATGTATTTGTTTGTAAATATGCAGAATTTTAAAGGATATTTTCATAAAGTACTTTGCTTTAAGATCTTTGTTTTAGTACCATTCATTTACTGTTTTGTTTGTTTTCTTTTCAGGCAATGGACAAGTTTTCTCTCTGCTGCATCAACTGCAATCTATGTTTACATGTATTCCTTTTACTACTATTTTTTCAAAACAAAGTAAGGAGACATTTTCTCAGTGTATTTTAATAAACTAAATTTGTCTTTAAATGCTACATTTTAAGGCGTATGTTGAAAGTAAAAATGGGTATATTTTAACAATTTTTTTTTTTTCAGGATGTATGGCTTATTTCAAACATCATTTTACTTTGGATATATGGCGGTATTTAGCACAGCCTTGGGGATAATGTGTGGTAAGTTGTGAAATTCTTGGAATACCCTGAGTGCTTCAGAATCAGAAAAATATAATAATTAAGAAGATACTGTAGGATAAGCACTGGACTGGGAGCCATAAGGTCGGTGGTTCAAACCCATCAACTTGCTCCTCAGAAACCTTATACAGGGTCACTGTGAGCACTTAATAACAAACAACAGTCTTTCTGTGTTATATTATTTTCAGTACAACAGTTAGTATTCTCATTCACGTAGAGAATTCGCTCTCTTAGCACCAGCAGCAGCAGGGTTGTAATGAGGACTCGATGATTGTGTGTTAGTAAGCATCAGGTAGATAATGGAAACTCAGTGAATGGTGGCTGCTGCTGGTATGTTGATTGGGTCTGAAAGTCCTTGGACTTCCTTCTGTTCTGGGTTGTGTCTTTGTTTATGCACAGTCTGTGGGTTTCCATACTTGTAATTTCACCTGGCGCTGTGGGTTAATGCGCCAGACTGAAAAGCCATTTGAACTGCAAGGTTGGTGGTTCAAGCTCACCAGCTACTCCTCGGGAACCCTATGCAGGGTTGTTACGGATCGGAACCAACTTGATGGTACTTAACAACAAGTCCAGGCAGAGGTACTCTGTGGCTCAGTTTTTTACTCTATGTTGTTGTTAGGTGCTGTCTGAATCGGTTTCAGTCCTACGCCATCATCAGAACTGCTATTATGCTTGAGCCCATTGCTGCTGCCACTGTGTCAGTCCATCTTTTGAGGGTCTTCCTCTTTTTCACTGACCCTTCACTTTACCAAGCATGGTGTCCTTCTCCAGGGACTGGTCCCATCTGATAACGTGTCTGAAATATGTGAAAGTCTTGACATCCTGGCTTCTAAGGAACATTCAGGCCGGACTTTTTCCAACACAGATTGGTTTATTTTTCTGATAGTCCATGATGCTTTCAGTATTCTTCTCCAACATCGTAATTCAAATGCATCAATTATTCTACAGTATTCCTTATATGTGGAGTCCTGGTGTGGTGCTGTGAGTTAATGCACTGAACTGCAAAGTCGTTTGAGCCTCACAGTCGGTGGTTCAAGCTCACCAGTTGCTCCTTGGAAACCCTGTAAGGGTCGCTATGGGTCAGAACCAACTCAACAGCACTTAACAGTTAACAACAAATTCCTTGTATGTTGTACAACTTTTACATGCATATGAGGTGATTGAAAATACCATGATTTGTATCAAGTGCACCTTACTCTTCAAACTGTAACTTTGCACTTGCACATTTTAAAGAGGTCTTATGCAGCAAATTTTCCTACTGTAACACATTGTTTGATTTCGTGACTGTTGGTTGCATGAGTGTTGATTGTGGATCCAAGCAAAATGAAGTCTTTGATAACTTCAATCTTTTTGTTTGCTTTACATTGAGGTGCAATCCATACTAAAGGCTGTGGTCTTTGATCTTCATCAGTCAGTATTTTAAATCCTTTTCACTTCCAACAAGCAAGTTTGTATCATCTGCATTATCACTGGTTGTTAGTGAGTCTTTTTCCAATTCTGAGGCCACGTTTTTCATATAATACATTTTCTCAGATTATTTACTCATCATACAGATTGAATTCTTGTTGATATTAAGTGCTGTCGAGTCGATTCCAACTTACAGTGACCTTGTATAGAGTTTCCAAGGAGTGGCTGGTGGGTTTGAACCGCCAACCTTGTGATTAGCAGTCCAGTGTTTCTTCTACAATGCTACACCAGAACTCCATATAGATTGAATAAGTATGGTGAAAGAGTACAACCTTGGCACACACCTTTCTTGATTTTAAATCACATAGTATCCACTTGTTCTGTTTGAAAGACTGCCTCTTGGTCTGTGTACAGGTTCTTGATGAGTACAATTAAGTGTATAGGAATTCCGTTCTTCACAGTGGTGGCCTTAGGTTGTCATGATCCACACAATGGAAAGTGTCTGTATAGCCAATTAAACACCAGTAAACATCTTTCTGATATTTTCAGCTTCCAGCCAAGATCCCTCTGACATCAACAATGATAAACCCAGTTCCACGTCTTCTTCTGAATCCAACTTGAATTTCTGGCAGTTCCCTGTCATTGTACTATTGTAGCCAGTTTTGAATTATCTCAGTAGAATTTTACTTGTATGCGATATTAATATCACTGTGATTTCATGCTATAAATGAGGCTGTTACCTTATAGGAATGAAATAAAGCTACAGGACTAACCATTGTGGAATCATTTCCAGATACTGGATAATTCAGACACTACTCCTTTTGTTATTTGCCATTGCCTTTAAAAAAATAAAATAAGAACTTCCTCTGTTAGCTTTAGGGTGAGCAGTAGATTAAGGAAGTGGAATCTTGTTAACAGGTTCTAAGCATATGATACTTGTGGGCACCTTTGGGTACCAAGATGTCTTTGTTACTCCATCTAAAGAGCTTTATTGTTCACATACGAAGGGGCTTCAAAGAGTTAATGGAAAAATTCCATTATCTTTTAGTTCTATTTTTCCATGAGTTTTGTTTAGTCCCCTCCAACACTATGAATGTGATCATGTGTACACACACATGAGGTTTGCCTCATGAGTGCTTATCCTAATACTTCTACAGCTAAAGGGAAGACATTCTCTATGTTTATAGTCACAGCTGTGAGAACCATTTCCTGTGATAGTTAGCCAACTTTAAGGGAAATAGGAACTAAAAGTTCAGCGTAAATGTGTGTCATATGGGAATGTTCTTGTTGTCTTGCTATCAGAAGGTGCATTTCATATTCTTGATCCACCCTTCTTTTAGACAGTTGCTCACTGGACCCTCTTTATTTTAGTCTGATTTCTTAGTGGACCTGTTTTGATATTGACCAGCATTCAATGAAGCATAGAATTACGTGATTGTACAAAGGGCTGTTGTTGTTTTGACTCATTTATCTATCTTAGAAAAACCTAGAGAAGTGGAAATTTACAAAGAAAATAGAATAAATATAGCTAAATTGAAATTCCATCTTGTTGCTGAAAATCTTGTCACATTTACAGTTCCTTTGCTATTTTAACTGCCCCAGCATTTATTTTTTAATGGGTTTATTTGCCTTTTCAGTACTAATTGATTTTGGGATGTTGGGAGAGAAGTGGTTCAAACTGGGATGGAAGAAAATGGGATTATAATACAAAAATTCTGTGTACCCATCAGTTTATGTTGCTAATTTTCTTTCAAGTGAACTTGAAAGAAAAAAGTTGATTTAAAGCAATGACTGTGCTAAAATAGAGATAATATTTAGACTGTTGTCTTTCTGTTATAAGCATTGCATTTTAGAGTTAAAAAAATCAAGTTTTAAAAGCACATCTCTTCTATTCCCAAAATATTTCTTTTTGTAGAGAGCACAGTGAATGTCCTGTTTTTTTATTAAGTAATATAAAACTATTCTTGAGGTACTCATAAAATTAGGAAAAGTGATTCTCTAGGTTTATACAGTTTTGCTTTTTAAGTACATCTATGCTCAAAGGGGGAAAATGTTTTGTAAGTGTGAAAAATTAGGTTTGGTTTTGGACTTATGTTATACTATGCTAGTTAAATTTTTGATGATTGTTAAATTTTTATAGGTATTTTATGTACCATGAATTCAAGTTTAGTTTTGCAAAATTGAATGATTTTTTTTTCTTACCTCATGAGGAAATGTATCATTACTACTACTTTAAAATGTATTCCTAGTATTTTAAAGTACATATCACTATTTCATATTATGAAAAAATATTCATTAATTGTAAAGATAATTAAAAATAGACTTGCTTTGTCATCTTGGTGAAGGTATTTATTTAGGGGGTATTCTTAATATTTTGTTATTACTGTTAAGTGCTGTTGAGTCAGTTCCAACTCAAAGTGACCTGTTTAAGGTTTTTGAGGAGTGGCTGGTGGATTTGGACTGCTGACCTTGTGGTTCAAACTCGCATTGCAGTCGAGTGCTTATCCTACAGCACCACACTAGGACTCTGTAAGTTTTACCATAATTAAATATGGTAAAAGGTCTTTTACGATATTTAGTTATAGTAAAATTTCCAAATATATGTAAAAAGAGAGACAGTAGTATAGTATGCCCTAGTATACCTAACACCCAACATTAATGTTGTCATGATCAGTCTTATTTTATTTATACCCCTATCTGTCCCTCTCATTCCGACAGGAATCTCAGACCTCATGTCATTTAATCTGTAAATATTTCCATGTGTGGGCGTAGTAAGTCTACTTTCTTAATATGCTGAAATGTTTAGTTGTTCAAATTTCCTCAACCCAAGACAAGTTAAATGCTTGTTTCTTCCCTTGCATATATACCAGTTGGTTCAGAGGTTCAGAATAGAAGTTGGTTCAGAGGTGACCGGTTAGTTAGATGTGTGTGTGTGTCATTGTTAACTCATTTTCATATAAGGTTTACTTTTAAACTTTCACTAATACTGGGCTAGATGGTTAATCTTCTCTATGACTCAAATGACCCTTTACCTTGTTCAAAACAAGTCTGAGAGGTCTAGTAAGTGTTTACCTTAATGGACTATCTAGTTCATTCATTCAGAAGATATTTTTTGAGTACCTTCTTATGTGCCAGGCACTCTTTTATCCACCACAGACAATTATCCTTTCTGGTGTTTTGAGCACCATCTGAGGCTAATTATATATATAAAAAAATTGTTTTCAAAATTCCTGAACTACTTACTCTCTCTCTAACGCACTCTCTTAAGTATGTCTTCTTTTCTACCAACTATGCAACTCTTACAACTTCAATATAAAGAAGTAATCATAGAAAATGCCTCTTCTTTAGAGTTGCAAATGCCATTGGGTCATGGTTCTCTGTCCTCCCTTGAGAAAATATGCAGTCACTTGTGATGTATCTATATGTTGCTGTTTGTTTAAGGGCACATGCTCAAAGTAATGAAGATCTGTTTTTCATTCCTCAGATTTTCGTCGCCATCAGATCTGTCTTGCTTTTGTAAGAAGTGTGTATCAGTTTTCGTAGTCACTGTTTGTTGTTGAATGCCTTTGGCTTAGTTCTGAGTCATAGCGACCCTGTATAGGATTTCAGAGGAGCTGCTGGTGAGCTTGAACCACCTACCTTACAGTTCAAAACAACCTTGCAGTCCAGTGCGTTAACCTACAGAGCCACACCAGGACTCCAGTTACTGATTCTTGTTGTTGTTATGTGCCGTCGGAGTTGGTACCGACTCATAGAGACCCTGTACAGGGTTTCCAAGGCTATAAATCTTTACTGGAGCAGAAAGCCTCATCTTTTTCCCGTGGAGTGGCTGGTAGTTTCAAACTGCTGACCTTAAGGTTTATAGCCGATTCGTAACCACTACGCTACCAGAGCTCCCAGTTGCTGATTATACAAGTAATAATCAAATGCTTGATTCTGAAAAACAAAACAAAACAAAAAACTGCATCAAGTCAGACTTGTTATAGGAAGGTTAACAAGTGATTTGGAAAGAAAAACAATGAATTTTTAGTAACTTCCGAGCAAATATTAACATAAAGATGTTATCTTAAAAAATAAATTTTCCAACACAGAGAACATTAGTATTTATAGATGATCAATAAATAGCACTCTGTATGTATTTATTTCAAAATATTTTATGTTATCTTTGCAGGAGCGATTGGTTACATGGGAACAAGTGCCTTTGTCCGAAAAATCTATACTAATGTGAAAATTGACTAGAGACCCAAGAAAACCTGGAACTTCGGATCAATTTTTCTTTCATTGGGGTGGACCTTGCACAGCAGAAAAAGCGCAAGAAGAGATTTGGGCTTTAACACTGGGTACTTTGTGGGTCTCTGTTTCGCAGATGGCTTAAAGTAACATCTATTTCCATTGATCCTAGGTTCTTACTGACTGCTTTCTTCAACTGTTCACAGCAAATGCTTGGATTTTATGCAGTAGGCATTACTACAGTACATGGCTAATCTTCCCAAAAACTAGCTCATTAAAGATGAAATAGACCAGCTCTCTTCAGTGAAGAGGACAAATAGTTTATTTAAAGCATTTGTTCCAATAAAATAAATAGAGGGAAACTTGGATGCTAAGATTACATGAATAGAGATCTTCCTGGCGCACTTAGTGTTGTTTCTACGTTATTGAAAAATGATGTTCCAGAAAGATTACGTATTTCTCTTATTTTTACTGCCATCATCAACCTATTGTGGGACATTTTTATATATTGAATCTGGGTTCTTTTGACCTTTTTCTTTCAATTCAACTGCATCCTTTTTTTAAAGAGAGAATTAAAAAAAATAATTCCTGCATGTAATATATCTGCTGTCATCTTAGTTGGACTAGCTTCCCATTTATTTATCTAAAAGTGTACAGTTACATCTTAATTCCATCCAAAGAAGATACAGTCTGAAGATAGAGGTGTACTCTCTACAATACAACTTACTGTACAGTTAGAAAGCAAAGTGTTAAATGGAGAAGATATTTGTTTTTATTAAACATTTTGAGATTTAGATAAAACAACATTTTAACTGAACTGTCTAAAGTGATTATCTTTCTTCCCCCTACCCCCAAGTTAGTCTTCCATCTTTTTTTGGGTTTGAATGAAGGCTTTATATAAAAAATTATTAAAACCATGAAGGGTGGGTAATACGTGTATATAACATTAAATAATGTAACGTAGGTGTAGATTCCCAAATGCTTTTGGATGTACAGATTGACTTCAGAGTTCTTTTTCTGATGATGATTGGTGTAGAAATGTGTGAATTTGGATGGCTTTTTCCATCTTGCCTACCATTGCATGAAACATTGGGATTTCTTCAAAATGTGTGTGTCATGCTTATTTTGGGATGGGAGAATTGTTTCTTCTGTTTCTTTTCTGAGACTCCTACGGGAGCTAAATTTGTAATTTAGAAACATTTAATGTTAATCCTGTCTGGGACACTTAAGTAACGTCTAAAGCATTCCTGCTTTAGGATGTTAAAATAAAATTTCCTGACCAAATTTTTTTGTGAACATAGATGTGTTTGTAATTTAAAAATACCTGTTCAAAAGGCAATACCACTGAAAACCATTTAAGAAAATTTATTATAAATGATGTTTTTCTAATACCCTTTAAGATCCCCAAACTTGCTTACATCTGGATTTGAGTTCAGTCACAAAGTGAATGACAGGTCCTCCTTGAATTCAATTGTGGTCTAAATCTGTCCTGGTTGGTGCACTGTGTGAAAGTGGGCTGGGTTACAGTGGTTAGCCTACTATTGGATGAGCAAATAAAGGTTACAGTTTTCTAAGACAAGTGATTTTACTTCTGAATACATCTTTCTGGAACTATTCATTACGTGAAGTTTTCCTAGAACCATTCAGTTTCTAGTTTAATAGTTTGCTATGCAAATGACCCCTTTAAACAATACTTTATATAGGTATTTTAAGAAAGACTCAAATAGCTGTATTTAAACCTTGATGTGCAACTCATGCCATTAATAATTAATATAAGATGTTTTCATTATATAGTAAGTTTCTACAAATTGATGGATTCTATACTGTAGCAGGTAAGAGTTGAAAGTTTGCTTTTTACTGCCAGTAAGTGTGATTGATGTGAACACAAGCAAATGTGATCAGTAGCTGGAGGTAAAAATAAATCCTTTTTCAAGCCAGATTTCTATTAAATATAATCCATTAGCTCTTTCATTTTCTCTTTTCAACTGCCTTTAAGATCTTAAAAGAAACTAAAATCAGCATGTAATTGCGTGTGTTCTGTAACTTTTTACTACATATAAGGGACTATCACCAAAACAGTCATAGTCTTATCTGATGAAGTGTAAATTGGTAAGCAAGCTTTTGTCTTAATAAAATGAAATATGCTTCTCATGATCTGAATCTTGCAGGTAAAGTGTAGGGTTATTAAAGAATGTATGGTTATCTGCTTTCAAGCACACCAATCCTTTCACTGATTGACATTCTTTGAATTTTTTAGTGAAAAAATAAATTTCTGATTTTCAAATTCATTAAGAGCTCCATTAAAATGAATATAAATCACCTCGAAAGGTCCTTTAAAAATATATTTTTTGGTTTATGATTTCATAGCAGTGCTGGATGAATATGTGTGTGTGTGTTTTGAAGACAATGTAATTCATAAATGGTTTGGTTCCATAGCACTCAGTTGTTGAAGAGTGAAATAGACTATTATTTAATTCAAGTGCAGGATTTTCCCACTCTGTTAATTCCATGTATTTATCTTTCATTTTTAACATTATTTATTCAACTTATCAAAAAGATAAACTTTCCCTGTGGGTGTATAAGCATATTTTCCCTGAAATTTTAACTACACTAGTAGTTGACATCATTATATATGATCCTAGTACGAGAGTTAGGACACAGTGAAACTGTGATGCTGGAGGGTTGATAAGCATTCCTTACTATATCATGTTGAACTCCTAGATTGTACTGGCTTTGCCTGTAAATCCCCGCCTCCCCCCTCCCCCACCCTCACCCCATCATGGTCTTAGAATTCTTTGTCTTGTGCTGCTAATAGTTGGACCTAGTGAATGGTGTGCTTGGGTGTTCGTCATTGCCAGTGGGTGTACCCCTTTATAAAGGTGGTTGCTGCAAATCCCAATTCTTCCAAAAGCCACTTTTATTTAAGGGTTATCCACACTATCCATTTTGATAAAGCTTTTAATTCCTAAATGTTTACTAACCATCATATGCCAAATGTTTTGCAAATAAATGTTACTTTAAAAACCTTTTGAATTCTTACAAATGTAAAAAAGTAGTGTATTAATGTAATTTGTTCAGGAAAATAAGTACCGAGTAGCTTTCGTATGTTAATTCTGGGGGATAAAAGCCTGTTTGTCATCTATACACTTCAATTCCATCTGGGTATTAAATTTAGATTGCAGTGTGGTTTATAAAGACTGTTCAATCTGGAAATGTGTACGTAAGTAGACTCGAAGAGGTAGGATCAATCACAAAGTTAACTTAGCTGCCAAAATTTTTATACGATTTAAAATCAGTATGAGGAATAACTCTGGAACCATATGAACATTTCCTAAAAGCCATCTGATTTGATATTTTTTATTGGAGCTATAGACAGAAAAGCTCAAAAACAAAAGTAAATGAAATCCTTATTTCACTGTTGTGAAAACTGCCTATGTTGAAGTATTGGTGGACTAGGTTTGCTCAAAAATAAAGCAACCTGCTGCTTGATAAAGATGTAAATTTTGCTTTATCAAGTGAAATTCACCAGTTTAGTTCATTTGAAAGTTTTAAGCAAGAGCTTAAGGCAAGGAAGAAGTAGCATGAGATTTTATTTGAAGGACAACAGAGCCTGCTTGGAAAAGCAATATCACTTTGGCTTTTCAACTATGTCAAACTTTCCTCTATAAATCCCCACAGTATGGACAATCATTGACAGAGTTGGAAGGAAACAATTACTGCTTGATGATTACTTCCAGTTTGTATTCACCCCTGATTTGTGTAGGCCATCTTCCAGCTGGCTTTTAGTAATAGAAATTCAGTATATAATGTATCAAATACATTTGAGGTTCTAATCTAGTCTGTTAATTTAACAAGTTGGATTTTAAAAAAGTAATAAAGTCAAATGTACTTCCCTTGGATGTTTGATTTCTTTGCTTTCTAAAACAGTTGAACAAATCATAAGGGATAACCTATTACTGGAGGTGTGTATATGAAGAGATTGCTAATAATTTTCCAGTTATGTAAAGCAGGGGTCAGCAGACTTCCTGTAATGAGCAGACAGTAAATAGTTTGCAGTTATTCAGCTCAAAGGTAGTAGCGCAAAAGCAGCCACAGATGTTATGTAAACTGATGAGCATGACTGGCTGCCAGTAGAACTTTACAATAACCAGTGGGTTATAGTTTGTATGACCCCTGAAATAAAGATCTTAAAATGTTTGATGTCCCTCTAACTTTAAATTTTGAAAAAACAATGAGATTTAGGAATAAAACAGCTGAAAGGATGTGCAGTGAATAAGGCTTTTCTTTTAAAGTAATTTGTATTTTGCCTTTTTTTTTTTTTTTAAATAAGCTCCAATGCTACACTCAAATTCCACTTCCTAATGCCTAATATGAGTCCCGGTGTGGCGTTGTGTATTAATGCACCAGACTGCAAAGCCATTTGAATTGAAGGTCAGCGGTTCAATCTCACCAGCTGCTCCTCAGAAACCCTGTACAGGGTCACTATGGGTCGGAACTGACTCAGCAGCACTTAACAACAACAACAATGCTTAATATTGGAGCCCTGGCATGGTGCTGTGGGTTAATGTGCTGGACTGCAAAGTCACTTTGAACTGCAAGGTCGGTAGTTCAAGCTCACCAACTGCTCCTTGAGTCCCCACAGGGTCGCTATGGGTTGGAATCAACTCAATAGCACTTAACAACAAATGCCTAGTAATACATTGATTTTGCCTAGTACTGAACTGCTTTTTCCAAGCAGTTTCACGTAAGTTCTAACAACCCAGTGAAGCTGGCATGGCACAGAGCTACATTTTGTAGATAAGCACTTAGGACAGCTCAAATAGTAGCCCAGGAGTCAGATAAGGACCCTGTTGTCTCGACTGTTGGAACTGTAAAATGAGGGATATCACCTCTCCAGCGTCAGGCGCACATAATGTAGAAATTACACTGACACGCTGTAGGATAAACACTGGACCACAATGTCAGCTTAAACCAAAAGGTTTGTGGTTCAAACTCGCCAGCTGTTCTTGGAAACTTACAGGGTCACTATGAGTCGAAAATGACTTGACACTTAACAAGTATAAGGAATTACTTTTTTTGTTGATTTATGTCAAAATCTGGCTAATTTCTCCAGGTCTATTTGTAACTTTTTCATCCCAATTTTCAACTATTTAAATCCTTGTCAGCCTTTTTTCTCCTCATTTTTTATTAGCTGCTTCATTTGATAATTCGTGTTAGTATAAATTGGTACAAATTTGGATTACTTCTGATAACTAGTGAACACTTACTATCTGGAAAACCAACTTCTTGGCTTCACAGTGATAACTATCTTATTAAACCGTTCTTCTACAACTTAGTATTAGAAAAGGGGAGAAGTAAGTATACCTACATTGGGACTTAGTGAGCTAATGGCGTTGTAGTCTGCAAATGTATTTTTAATGAATTTGGTTTTTGAAGTTTGTATTTTAAGGTGACAAGAGTTTCAAATCTTAAAAATGAGATGTTGTAGGGGAGAAGTCATTTTAATTGGCCAATGGCAAGGTGGTTTTTAGTGTCTCATCAAGCCTTGAAGGTTATGGGACTTAACCTTGAAGACCTGTGAAGAGGGGAGAAAGTCTAGAGAATGAGGTGTGAGAGAGAGCTCCAAGTTGGACTTTGTCAGGACAACTCCAGGTTACAGAACAATAGAGTGGGGCAGACATAGGTAGTTTCGTCTTAAATGTGATAGCCGCTATAATAGGTATTGCCCCAAGGATGTGGGTTAGCAACATGTCCCAGGCAGAAAGATCCTATTAGAATGTTACAGAGTGTTTAAGGTGGATCTTAGATAAAGTTTGTAAAGGGTCACAAAGGTTTTTAAGCAGTTGCTAAAATTTATAGCAATATTGAATATTTTAAACCACTTTTTCAGTGGTCAGCAGTGTAAACTAAGGAGCCAGCAGATGAGTGTCCACTTTATTCTGGAGGTTTTGCCTTGTTGGAAGAGATGATGGTGTTGGTGGCCTGGAAAGACAGAATGAGACACAAGCTGCCTCAGTGGAGGATAGACCTTAGACTTGCAGGGGATTGAGAGGTGCTGCATAACCGGGCCACTTGGTGTAGGGAGTTTATGCAGTGAGGTGGGTGAGGAATAGACATCTAAAGGAGAAAAAGCATGTATCCACTTAACAGGTTTAACACAAGACAATTGAGGAAACTGCCAATAATTAGGAATATAATAATTACACAAAATTGAAAGCAGCCTTTTATTGTGTGTTTTTTCCCACCAGTCTTTCATGGAATTAACATTTAAAAAATAATCTTTAAAAAATTATTTGAACCTAGATTAGAGTTTAACACAACTGGTGAAATCTGGAACTGTGGAACTGATTTAAAAAAAAAAAAGATGCTGTTGAGTCAGTTCTGACTCAGCCACCCAGTTTAGGGTTTCTGAGGAGCACTTGATGGATTTGAACTGCTTGGCCTTGCAATTAGCAGTCCAGTGCTTATCCTACATTGCCACACCAGGACTCCATGTATATCTTAACCATTCCTTTTCAGTTGTTCCTATCTTGTCTTATATTCCTATGAGCCAAATAATTCTTGTTAGGTGATAGCCTAAGTAATATCTAAACAGAGCATCTGGTGTGAAGTAGCAGCTTGCTTATCCAAGAGCACTACTCTTAAAAATATTTGGACAAAGTGTTTGTAAGAAGACCTGGCAGCTAGTCACCAGGTGGGGATAGTTGTTAACTGCCATTGAGTCGATTCCGACCCATTGCGACCCTGTGTAAGGTTTCCAAGGAGCAGTTGGTGAGCTTGAACCACAGATCTTGCAGTTTAAACGACTTTGCAGTCTTGACACCTTAGCCTATAGCGCCACACCAGTACTCCAGGTGAGGATTAGAGGTTGTAAAAACTCACCATTTCCAGGCTTATCCTAGAAGTTGCCTCGAATGCCTGTTTTCCAGAGGAATTCCCTGGTAATGAAGCCAGTTGGCTGTTTACCTACTGCCATCTGGAGACCTGGAAATGTCACAGAAGTTTGTCAGGATTTTTAGATTGTTGACTTTGTGGACTGTTCTGACAATTGGTGACCTTTACTGGGGTGAAAGCAGAGAACTATGGCGTTGGGTTTGACTCCTTCCAGCATTCAGGCAGAAATGTTCAACCCCTTTCTATGCCTATCTCCTATTTGCTGGCCACTTGGCCTTCCCTGCCATTTGGTGGGATCCATTCCCCCTAAATTCTTTCAGGCCTGCAGATCTTGCCTGTTCTGGCTCGATCTTGTATGTGCCCATTTTATGAAAACTCAGTTGGAAGCAGTCAATCCCTTGCAGTTTTTACCAGGAACCCAGATAAAGTATCCAGAAGGATCCTTCCAGTAGTTACTTTTAAACAGTAATGGGTTTTAATGACATATTATCCTCATTAATAGCTGAAAAGATGGATGATAGTAATGCAAGAGTAATACAGTAATACAGCCCTGTTCTAGGGTCCCTGCCAACAGCTTTGTCATTAGTGGTTGTGAAGAAATGTAGAAACTCCAAAGAATTTGGACCATTTTTCTGTTTGCTGTTTAAATGATACAAGACTACTGAGTGTGATACTGGAAATCTCTACATGTTGGTATGCTTGATTTTTTCCTTGATAAGGGCAATTTTGCTCGCATAAAAAGGTCTTTGAAAAGTCTCATGGTGGTAATACTTTTTATGTCTGTAAATCAAAATGGTTCAGTTCTGAAATTTTAAAAATTTAAGGTACAACACTGTTGTTAAGTGCCATTGAGTCTGTTCCGACTCATAGTGACCCTGTGTAGGATTTCTGAGGAGGGGCTGGTGAGTTTGAACCACCCACCTTGTGTTCCAAACCGACCTTGAGGTCGAGTGCTTATCCTATGGTGCCACACCAGGACTCCAAGATATGGCATAGCGGACTTCCAATATCTCTTGATGATTTTCCTAAATTATTATTTTTGCCCAGGGGTCAGTTATTTTTAATAGACTTTATAAAGTGTCCTTTTTTATCCCATAAGTTAATGGTGAGTAGTTTATTAATAAGACACGCCTGTACTTAAATACCAGTGGCATGTGCGGTTGTTCATTTGTCAAACTTTTTCCATGTATGAAGCATCTTACAGTGTTTTACTAAAGGATAGGGTCACCCGGAGTGGGAAATCAGCGTTTAAAACGATTCCTCCTCACATGAGCAGCCACTATGTTTGTGGGTGCAGCAGCAAGCGCCCTTGGTAGCTGGAGGAGAGGATGAGCGTTAGATGGCGGACACAGACCGCCTGTTGGGAGAGCTCAGAGGCTCACAATCCTGGATTTTTCTGCGCGGAGAGACGATTCACTTCAGGCCAGCAGAGCAGCAGAGCAGCCTACAGCAAGTTGGCTGCGACGCGGACCATTCACCTCATGCTTCTGGTCCTGCGCTCCGAGCTCCAACAGCTGCAGGCTGCCTTCGTCCACGTGTGCATCGGGAGTTGTAAAGTGAGTTGTGAGAATAAAACACGTGGACAAGTTGAGCCTTAATCTTCAGGAGGAACGTTGTTGGCGTCTGGAGGCCGTGGTGGCGGCCGGAGAAGGGTGCTCCCGGCTCGGTGGGATGGCCGGGGTCCCCAGGTCCTTAGCCTTCAGCATCTTCACCTAGCTCCCCTTCCTCCGAAGTTGCGGAGGTGCCGGGAAGAGGAGGGGCCTCGCTTCGGGCACCCGGGTGATTGGCTGCTTAGGGTCCCTGGCGAGGGCTGTGTGGTCCAGCCCGGGCGGAGAGGGGCGGAGCGGACACTGCTCCAATCGCCCCCGCCACCGCCACAGTCACAGCAGCCGCAGCCTTGGCCGCCGGCGGCCCGAAGCGGACAGGGGGCGCCACGTTCTGCTCACCCGCGCCCGAGCGATGCCTGGCACCCTTGCGTAGTCGCTGAGGCCAGCCCAGCTCGACCCGTGCGCGCCCCTCGCTGAGCCGAGCTCTTCGTACTCACCTCTGCCTCGACCCCGCCAGCCCCTCGAGACCATGCCCCCGGCGACTGCGCTTGGAGCCCTGGGGCCACTGTTGCTGCCTTTCCTGCTGCTGCTGCTGCCCCGCGGTGCCGGGGGGCTCCGGGAGCACTCGGGCACCGCCTCTGACCACTGGGTGCTGGAGAGCGAGGAGGGCGCGGAGCAGCAGCTGGAGCACTACCACGACCCTTGCAAAGCCGGTAGGTGCCGCCGCCGCCACCCGGGAAGTCCGGCAGAAGTTTGCCTTTGAAATGTAAATGAGGTGGTGGGCAAGCCAGTGCTGCCGTCCGTGGGGCGGGTCCCCCAGGCTTCCCGGGAAAACAATGCCCAGAGAAGCGGCTGAAATCCCACTCCGAGGCCGGGACCGCCCGGGCCCAGTGTGCGGCGCGCTGGGGGTGGCGGCGGGGCACGCGCTCCCTGGGCGAAGTAAGGCCGCCTGACAGCCAGGTGTCAGGAGAAGCCGCGGCCCGACGCCGGGGCCCGAGCAAGAGCCGGCCGGGGCGCGGTGTTGCCAGGCTCAGTTGGAGTTGATGGCTATGATTTCGTGTCGTTTGTAAGTTTTGCACAAAGTTTCCCAAAACCTTGTGGTTACTCTATGGAAGAGAATTGAAAAAAAAAAGAAAAGCTTCCCAGCGGCAGAAAACAAAACGGTTGCGGTGGGGTCTGTGTGTGTAACTCACGTTGTTGTGAACTTCCCTGTCGCTGTCTCAGCGTGGTCCCGGCCTGGGGGTCGCTTGGGGCGGGCGGAGAAGGAAGCCGGCAGGTGCTCTAATCCCACCAGGAAGTGGCGCCCCAGAACGCGCGGGTATTTCTGGCGCAAATCGCCGCCGGACACCGCACTCCAGCTTTCCAGGAGCCACCAAGCGGCTCCTGTGTCCCAAGGGGAGCAAATTCTCAGCTGGGATCCTTGAGGCATCAGCTCAGAAGGGTCTAAGTACATGATCCAGAAAGAGCCCACGGGCCGGAAGCAATTCCCAGCTGAGAGAGACGGGTACACATGCCCCCCAGGAAATGATGGTTCTACTAGCCTGTTGAGACGCTCCTGGTCTTTGGCCCGGACCCTTAGGGTAGTAGTGTTTGTCTCTGAACTTTGGTCCAGTTACACTAGGCGGCCCACAGAGATGAATGGACAGAGCAAATAATTCAGACTCAATCCGCGGAGATACTGTATGTAACAGGCCAGATACGAATGCCAGGGGCCAGTGGTCCCAGTCCATATTCCTCAGTTTCTTCATCTCAAAATTAAACCCCACTGCCGTCGAAATGATTCCGACGACTCATAGCAACCCTATAGGGCTCGTAGTATTCCCAAGGCTTTACATAAACCAACTGTCACATGTTTCTGCCGCGTAGTTACTGGTGGGTTCTAGAACTGACCTTTAGGTAAGCAGGGGAGCTCTTAAGGAGTGCTTAAACTCCGCGCCATGAGGGCGCTTTATCGCTAATTGGGCATAGCATACTTATAGGAAGACTCGGATGGCTGATGAAAAAATTTTCTGCACACAGAATGAAAATGATCTCATTGCAATTATTTTTTATTACTACTGCAGTGACTCTGGTCTGGGGCTGGCGGGATCAGAACTGAGGAAGGCCAGATTACCAGGAGACTGGAGGACCTTGGGGGCTTTGAGAATTTCGTGAAGGCTGAACATAAGGCATGAGGTCTTACGATAAAGGAAGATTCCCCCCAAATAGTTGCCTGTTACTGTACTATGTGGAACTTCTGAGTTAGGGTGGTGGATGGAAGAGTTAGTGCCTGGGTGATCTGAGAGGCCATCAGCAGGTATCCCAGGTCCTCACAGATCTAATTCACAACCAACGGGTACGGTCTCCATGAACACTGTTGGAATCATGACATTGCCCTTGAAGATAGGGGAACTGCCAGGGTTGGGCAAATGGGGTGGGAGCAAAAGGGATGGGTCAACCATTACTCTGTTCCTGTCAGATCCTGTGCAAACTGGAGCTGTAGGAGGAAGTATGGCTGCTGTGGCCCAGCATGCAGAAGGTGAATTTGTATTGGAAGGTACTGAGAACTTCAAGTATACACTGAATCCAAAGACGAGTGAGGGATAAGTCTACCTGCGCAGGCTCCCTGGCTTTCTGGCGCAGCCTTACAAAATACTCCAAGGCAAGTTTGCCTGTCAGGCTTCATTTTCTCCAGTAATTTTGGCATGTGGGGCCAGGATGCCAGTCAGTGCTGGATAACTGGGCATACGTGTTCTGTGCATGGCATGGGATTGGCAGGCAGGGATCTTTGAGTGTGGCTTCCATGAATCCTTCATAGCCACCCTTGGATAATCCCAACCCATTAGTCCCTCCCAGGGCTGTGTTGATGTAAGAGTGGGAAGGCAATGGCAGTGGTGATGACATTGGAGATCTGGAGCGAAGGTAACTCTCAGTCTGCCGGTCTTCCTGGGGATTTCCAGACCGAGGGAACAGACTTCTGGGGAGGCCAGCACATATCTCACCACTGCACTGAAATCTCAAAAAAATCACTTCTGGTATACACCGCATTTCTTGGTTGCATATTTGAACCAAATTTCTAGGGGCAGCTCTCATCTGGTGAAATCCCAAATCCCTAACTTTTTAGCCAGAGGTCTTTCTAGGACCAGCTTCAAGGCTTTGATTCTAAAACATTTCCCACCTGCCCCTTCTTGAGCATGTGTCTTCATTCTGCTGAAGATCCAAAGTGCAGAGAAGAGAGCTCTGAGTCAATGCCTGGCCTCTCAGTGGCTGTGTTAACTTGGCTAACTCTCCTCTCTATGGGCCTCAGGTTCATTATCTGTAGAATATTAGTTTCAAGTCACAGACCCAGGGGACCCCCTTCGTTTGAGCCACAGAAACCATCTTGCCTGGATCCACTTACCACGTTCCAGTACCTGCTTTGTCTTACAGGCAGTTGAATTTGTGCCCCCTGGCTCTTTTCTGCTTCGTGTTCTATAGTTCTGTGACCTTCGGTTCTAGCCCAACCTCTCAGAGTTCTCATCTCAGCTCTGATATTTATAAGCCTGGACCGTGGACAAGTCACTTAATTTCTCTGTGTCTTATTTTACTTGTTTGTTGGAAGGAATAATTCCTAATCGGTTGAAGTGCTTTGAACAGTGACTGACATATAGTTGCTGTTTTTAGGAGCCTTAGAGTCAGTTCCAACTCATAGTGACCTGAGGCACAACAGAATGAAACACTGCGCTGTCTTCACAGTCTCTGTTATGTTTGAGCCATTGTTGCTGTCACTATGTCAATCATATTATACTGTTGGAGGTCTTCCTCTTTTTTGCTGACCCTCCATTTAACCAAGCATAATGCCCTTCTTGACCCCTCCCAACAACATGTCCAAAGTACAAGAGAGCAAGTCTCACCATCCTCACTTCTAAGAAACATTCTGCCTGTACTTTGTCCAAACACACATTCGTTCATTGCTCTGGCAGTCCATGGTGCTTTCAATATTCTTCTCCAACACCCTAATTCAAATGCATCAATTCTTCTCCGGCCTTCTTTATTCATTGTCCAACTTTCACATGCGTATGAGGTGATTGAAAATACCATGACTTGGGTCAGGTGCACCTTAGTCCTCAGCTACTCTGAAGAAGTCTTGTGCCGCAGATTTGCCTAATACAATGTGTCTTTTGATTTCTTGACTGCTGCGTCCATGAACATTGATTGTGGATCCAAGCAAAATGAACTCCCTGACAATTTCAATCTTTTCTCCATTTATCATGACATTATTTATTGGTCCAAGTATGAGAGTATTTTTTCTTTATATTGAAATACAGTCCATACTGAAAACTATAGTCTTTCATCTTCATTAATATTTCAAGTATTTCAAGCTAGCAAGGTTTATGTCATCTGCATATCACAGACTGTTAATAAATCTTTCTCCAGTCCTGATGCCACGGTCTTCATGTAGTCCAGTTTCTTTACTTATTTCCTCAGCTTACAGATTGAATGAATTTGATGGATCCAACCCTGGCACACACCTTTTTTATTTTATACAATTCTGTATCTCCTTGTTCTGTTCTAATGACTGCCTCTTGGTCTATATGCAGGTTCCTCATGAGCACAGTGATGTGTTTGGGAGTATCCATCTTCAAAGCGCAATTTGTAGTTTGCTATGATCCACACAGTTGAGTGCCTTTGCGTAGTCAATAAAGCACAAGTAAATGTTTTTCTGGTATTTTCTGCTTTCACCAAGATTCATTTGATGTCAGCAGTGATATCCCCTAGTTCCAGGCCCTCTTCTGAAACCAGTGTGAGTATATGGCAGTTTCCTGTCGATGTTCTGCTTCAACTGTTTGTGAAAAATCTTCAGTAAAATTTTGCTTGCATGTGATGTCAGTGATATTGTTTGATGATATCTGCATTCCATTGGGTCACCCTTCTTTAAATGGGCACAAATGTGGATCTCTTTCAATTGGTTGGCCAGGTAGCTGCCTTCCAAATTTCTTGGCATAGATGAGTGAGCTCCTACAGTGCTACATCAGTTTGTTGAAACTTTTCAATTCGTATTATATAAATTCCTGGAGCCTTCTTGTTGCCACTGCCTTTAGTGCAGCTTGAACTTCTTCCTTTAATGTCATCGGTTCTTGGTCATATGGTACTTCTAGAAATGATTGAACGTTGTTGTTTTTGTTAGGTGCCATCGAGTTGGTACTGACTCATAGTGACCCTATGCACAACAGAACGAAACACTGCCCAGTCCTGGGCCAACCTCACAGTTGTTGCCACGCTTGAGCCCATTGATGCTACTACTTTGCCAATCCATCTCGCTGGGGGTCTTCCTCTTTTTCTCTGACTCTCCACCTTACCAAACATGATATCCTTCTCCAGCGACTGGTCCCTCCTGACAATATGTCCGAAGTATGAGTGATGAAGTTTGGCCATCCTGGCTTCCAAGGAGCACTACTTCCTCCAATACAGATCTATTGGTTCTCTTGGCAGCCCATGGTACTTTCAACATTCTCCTCCAACACCATAACTCAAAAGCATCAATTCTTCTACGGTCTTCCTTATTTACTGTCCAACTTTCACATGCATATGAGGTTATTGAAAATACCATGGCTTGGGTCAGGCACACCTTAGTCCTCAAGCTGACATCTTTGCTCTTCAACACCCCAAAAGGTCTTGTGCAGCAGATTTGCCTCATGCAGTATGTCGTTTGATCTCTTGACTGCTGCTTCTGTGAGTGTTGATAGTGGATCAA